TTAAGAGGTATGTTATATTTTCCCATGAAACCATTATGGCATATAAAATTCATTTGATAAGTTTAATTTATTTTGGGCTGTGGGATATATTCTATGCAAATACATTATGGTATACTGATGATTATCGTCAAACTCCTAATATTTTTACTTACTTTCGACTATTTTTGGCTAACAAAACTGATAGCAAAGTACATTAGCCCCAATAATGGAAACATGATATCAAAACCACTCATAAATTCTCGTTGTTTCATAAACACTGAGAAATCCTTAATAAACCACTTTTATCTGTTGATTATCTAACCAAATAAATAGCATGTTCCTCCTAAATTCACAAATAATTTTTCAAAGTTTTTTATATGCTATATCTCTATAGTTTCTGTTGATCATGTAACTAAAATATGTTCCAATTTTGAAAGGACTATATTTCCATCAATCTTCTTGACTGACAAGAAAATAATTAGATAAGGGTGGAGTTATTATAAGCATAGGGAAAAACATGACACCAATTTTACAACAAATCTGTGCTAATCTTTGAATATAGTAACAGGTAGTTTTGCGACATTTTGGTAAGGCGATAAAGGTACTAGTTGGACTTTAGCAGTGTACATGGATACAGTCAAGAGTGCGCAATGCCATTTTTGTGCAATTCTAGGATGCTTTTTTAAGTGAAAAGGTCGACGTGTACATGGATGATACCGTGTATGTGCAATTCGTAAAAACGCGGCAAGCATGGGCGTTCTGCCTTTGTCCAATTTCGCACCTAATCTTCGTCATGATTAAGCACTTTTATTCCAGAAAGTTCTAGCATAAGCATAATTCGGCTAGAAGATTGTTTGAAATGTTGAGTAAAAAAAAACATGCCTTTACTTCTTGAAAACAAAATGGCATCCAAACAAAAACTAGCAAGGTTGCTGTAGCAGGGTTGGTCGCCAAATTTTAGCCAAAAATCGCCAACTTACATAATCCAAAGATTAACCCAAATCTGAAATTTTGTTTTGTGAGTCTTTGGGTAACTAAATGCTATAATTATTTAGGATGAAATATTCTTTGGCATAATGTAATTCATATCATCTATGTTGTTACAATTCTGTTTCAATACAAGACCATCATATCAGTGTAAGATTTCCCATGTGGAGACTTGGTTCTAATCTTTGTGTAATATAATACGAAGCTCGTACTGTGAATTCGTAAGTATAATTTATTCTTCTATTAGATTGGAATGGACTCAATGTTTTTCATATAGAATGTTTATATTCAAAGTGTTAGTTTGGTGTTTCATATTCAAAGATGTTGAAGTTCATACAATGTAATTAATTAATAGACTTATCACACAGACTTTTTTAATAGACTTATTCTTGAATTTTCTGCTCAGATATAAAGTTATTAATTAAAAACAGCATTAGAAAAGCAAAACTGATTAAAAGAACACTTCCATTATTTTTAAAATTGATATATTTAAATGCTTTTGTTCATATAAAAACAACAATAAACACATTTCTAAATAATAAGATTATTAAGAAAATTTGTAAAGGTTTGCAAGGACAACATGATCGATTTTGTGGCAGTTTTCGGATAACCGGCTCTTGGCGACCTCGCTACGGTGGCTGGTGATCCTGTTATGAACCAATCTTAACAGATAAAGATATAACATGTGAATATAGAATCTAAAGAAAAGGTAAGGTTAGATTAGGCTATTTGAATATGGCTAAGCACATTGGTTATCAGCCTGAAGAAGAATGCTTTTATGAAGAACTTATAGGGAAACTGGTTCGTATTCACAAAACACATGCAAAAAAAATAAAAACTGCACAGCCGCTTGTTCACCAGGATTTGAGCTGAGATTAAAACTACCAGTATTGAGTTGTTTAAACCACTGTAGGACAAATCTAAAGAAAATGCTTGTAATATCATTAATCAAAAGTTAACTAAATGTTATATGCCAGAATTGCTTTCTCAAGTACTGAGGGGTAGGTAATACTTAATCTGCTCTTTTTTTTTTTTTTTGAAATGTTTGGTCATGGTATTATTCATTGCATGTATTTTCTATAATACATATAGGATACTAATATTTCTATTACAAGTGTCTTTTTTCATTTTTAAGTGCTTTGCTTGTTGATATTCTCAAAATTGCATCTGATAATTAGTGATCATGTGTATAATAAATACAATAGATTCATATAATAGATCAATATATTTTTAGTATACATTAATGATTCAATATCATTTTTATGGGGAGAAAAAACACTTTGATGCAAAATTTTCTAAAATAAAAACTGCACATATGCAAGTTTGTTCACCAGGATTTGAGCTGAGATTAAACTACCAGTATTGAGTCATTTAAACCACTCGTAGGACAAACCTAAAGAAAATGCTTGTTCCTCCTTTACATAAACAAGAAAATTTTTTATAAAAAATGTTACTTCTTCTTTTAAACAAGGAAATGTCCTTCGATTTCTTGCGATCAGGACGCTATACAACTTATCCTTAAATAGGAAGCAAAAATTTGTATACTAGATTTTTCAAGTAAAATTCTGTGCATTACCAAATGATCAGCTTTTAAAATTCTCTCTGATTCAGTAATACAGCTAGAATTTACACATCCTCGAACAAAATCAAACATTTCGGAAGAGCTAAGCAACTCCATTTTTGAATGTACGAAGTCAGATCACAAATCAAAATACCGATGTTTATCCGCCATACTAATGTTGAAGCGCCATCTATAGTTGAATTGAATCGCGGTAAAAGAATGTATGCTTATCCATTTTTTGCAGCAATTCCCTTTTTGTTTAATGAACTTCGAAACATACTTTCGCTTTGCAGACTTTACTATTAGCAATATATATCGGAAATTCTATTTGACTAATCAAACGTTCAGCTTACTTTTATAAATTGCTCTAACAGTCTGCAAAAAAATAACCCGATCAAATTTGGAAAGGACGACGCCTCTGCAACATTAACTGAATTAGATAATTTTGCTTAGCTTATCCGTCCGTTATACATTAAACGCGCATGCGTAAACGTATTTTGGGCATGCGCACACGCATATTCGCAGCCGTAAAGGTCTTAGGCGCATTCTGCGCATGCGTCAATGCGACGCATGAGCAGAAATTTTGTAGCTTTGAGGCCCGGATTATAGATCATTCCTGATTATGGATGTCCGACTTAACGATTTCAGTTAATGTTGCAGATCCTTAATCTTCTAATTGGATCAGGCTTATTATTTTTTGCAGACTGCTAGAGCAATTTTATAAAAGTAGGCTTGAACTTCGATTATATCAAAAAGAATTTCCGATTCTGGAGCTGCCAATGGATTTACAAAGCGAAAGCATGTTTCGATGTCCATCAAACAAAAAGTGGAATTGCTGCAAAAAATGGATAAAGGCATATCTTTTGTTCTCTAACCATTCCGAAATCTGCTTATCAATTTCACGCTGCTCTGCGGCGGGGGCACGCCGCGGCGCGCAGTGAATTGGAAGTTGATCTGTTAGCACTATCCTTATCTTCAGGGTAAATGTTTTTATTTTATTTGGCTTATAATTCCTTACTAAATGTAGTATTTCATTTCGATGTTTTCCGTCTTTGATATGATTTAAATCAAATTCCTCGTCATTATAATTCGCTTCCGATAGCGTAGAAAGTAAAGTAAATAAATAAATATTAAGCTTTTTTATGTAAATTTTGATACCCTTTCGATTATAATTGTTCTTTATTTCATAAATTACGGTTTCATATTTTTAATGTTATAATTTCTGCATGCCATCTTACCAGATTTAAACTGATTATCTATAATCCGGAAAAATCGATAATCCGGAATCGCCGAAGTCCCGACGAGTCCGGATTAACGACTTTTGACTGTAAGAACAATTTTGATACCAAACAATAAATAAAAGGAAGGTTATTTGGTTAACAAGCAGTTAATTTTTGTAAAGCAATAACTAGCTTTTACATTCATATCACTTTTAAAAACACTCTTCTGCAAAATAAACCGCTAATTCACGAAAACTGAGGCAGACATTGTTTACACAGTAAGAGTTAAGGCTATTTCTTGACATTGCTGACGAAGCAAATCTTGTTAATGGTCTCCTGCTATATGAAATTATACAATATATTTCTTAAATATCAGTATAGCGCTTTGAATTGAGATTGCTTAGCCAAACGATATTTACGCATTATAAAGTTTTATCTATTCCATTAACATGATTTAACAATTTATATAAAAAGTGCCGACATATTTTTTTATACTGTTAGGTTCGTTTTAATTGCAAATATTCTGTTACATTGCACAAATTCACATTAACACAGGACATAACCAAAGTAGTTATAAGTTCCCCTTGACATAACTCAAACGAAACAGATAATGGAATCTTTTCCACAGCCAACTCTATAATATGTATAGAGTTGGCTGTGATCTTTTCAGCCTGACGTCATAAGCGACAACCAATAAGAACAGGGGTGGTGGCTGGGACCAGGCGCTTGTCCCACACACGGGCGCCTTATGACGAAATCATCGTCGTTAATTTAATCAAACAAATGAGCGGCTTGACAGAAATGTGATGAGATAAAAGATCTTCACTATAAACTTATTTTAATATTTTTTAGCTTTCGTCCACCCAGGGACACCATACAACGAAATTATCGTCGTTAATTTAATCAAATAAATGAGCGGTTTGTCAAAAATATGACGAGATGAAAGATCTTCATTCACTATAAACATATTTTAATATTCTTCAGCACAGTATAAATAAGCTCGTTACATACATTCAAAGCATGCAATAACTTTCGCACGGTAACAATAACAACAAGTATAATAACAAAAAAACGGGAAAAATACGTGAAACGGGAAATATAGTTCAAGATTTATTTTTTTACAGGGATTTACATTTATCTCCTAGCCAATCATACGTGTAAGGAGCTTTGACGTCATAAGGCACCGTGTTTAGCATGTTTAAGCGCGCATAATATTTATGTTGTTATTGGGCTAATAACATGTGGCTATTAAACACCGTATGTTAAGTGATATTGATTGGACTTCATTGAATGAAAAGGGGAAAAGAATATCCGCCGGAGTTGTTGCGTTATTTAATTGGTTCCTTTGTTTAAATTCAAAATAAAAACCAGTAATTATGGCAGGGAGATCAGAGGTTCAGTGGGTGTTAATAGATACATTTTTAATATGTTTATTTAAATTAAGAACTCATTGGCTTTTGGCGGTTGAGTGTTATAAGCAAAAATATAATTCATATTATCTGTCTACTTTAAGGTATTTAAATTTTTTTTATGTCTGTTTTAATAGTTCGATATTTAACTTCTGTCTTAATTGGTAAGAAATGTTAGGAAATATGTAAACTTACTTCGTTATAAGAATATGTTCAAATCTTTCTAACCTGAACAATGAGCTAGAATGGTTCATTCTTTTAACTGAGAAAACATAATATCTCGATTCTGAATTTTGTGCTGTAGTGCTGATGTATTTTATTCATGCATTAGAAGTATTTAAATAAAGTTTTCATATGAATTTCAGTATGCAGCAGGTGATTAATAGATTTATACTTTTCTTTTGTTAATATTAGTTTGGAGATTTGAAATCAGTTAAATTTATCTTTTGATTCTAAATATTTTCAGGATCAAAGATAGCTCTAATATTTTGTAAGTAAAATAAAATAGATGGGTTAACTAATACAAAAAGAATAATAATTATTAAACTCAGTGTTAATTGCAAAGTAAAAAATTAATTATTATAAGTTGCATTAAATCCATAACTGAAAGCACTGAAATTTTTATAAGAGGAATTTTCAGTAGAACATATCTAAAACAATGGGCAAATTGAATTTACAAAATAAATTTCAGAATGCAAAATTTTATTGGCTAATTCTAAAGAAGTTTCCTACATCTTTCTTTTAAATAAATTTTGATACAAAATATCTAGTTGACTGCAGTATAAAATATAAATATGTTCTTGTGTGGTTTGAAGAAAAGTCTTTTTGGTAGCAGAAAATAATTCACATGTGATATTCCATGATGAAGTTGATTGTGATTTAATTAGTGTTATAATTGTATATCATGAATTTATGATGTGCATCTATTGAAAGCATTAGCAGGGCCGGATTTACATATAAGCTACACAAGCTATAGCTTGGGGCCCGAAGCCTCCCCCCAAAATTAAAATATAGTATAAATATTCAAAATATATTTTAACAGACTTATAAAAGGCCTCATATCTCTAATAGCTTAGGGCCTTATCAAGTGTAAATCTCGCTCTGAGCATTAGCACACTAGGAAAAACCTAAGCTATTTGATTTTGCTTTTGTTTAAGAGGTATTGATATCTGAGTAAATGCTTTCTGCCTTTAGATATCATTTTCATATAGGCTATTTTGCCTGATAAAGCATTTTTTGTGATCCCGTTTTGTTTCAGATGCTTGAAAATTAAAACTATGTTTTATTATAATTAATAACTGAAAATATTAGCAATTATAAATCAGATGTTTAATATTGTATGAAAAATTACTTGTTTTAATGATAAATATTCAATACATCTTTAAAAGCAAGTTTATTTTTCTGTAATGAAAAATATCTAAAAAAAATTATTGCTCTATGCTTATTACATTATTTTATAATTTTAGTATTTTTGTTCTTGAAAATATGAATTTTATATTTTGAAGTATAAAACCTTAAATTTACTGTATGGTACAATGAGAAAAGTGCACTTCGTTTATATTTTAGTAATTATTTTGTAGAGATAAATGGAATATTATTAAAATAGTGCTATTAATACGGTGATAATTCACTTTAAATGCTACTTAAAAGACTTACTAATTTTAATTGTGTTTTATTACATTTGAGTATTATTTACTATGCCTGTTTAAACTAAATATTTTTTTAATGGAAAATAAAATTTTCAGGTTTTGGTGCCTTTATCATGTTATACTCACATGATATTCTTCAGAAACGAGGAAAATTTGGAATCATATGGTATATAAAAATTGCTTCTTTGATGAAGAATTTTTTGTGTTTGTGTGCAATTTTTTATTTTGATATATTCATCAAATGTTAAGAACAAATTCAGAATTTTTGGTGAAAATTAAATAACAAAAGTGTTCACAGTATTTAGTGTAAAAACAGAGCCTGATAATATTTGAATTTTTTAATTTTGGTTTCATCGTAACGTTAATCCGGCAGAAGGCGTGCAACAAACACTGACGTTGGAGATCGCCCGGGGTGACTGTGTCACCCCAGTCAGTTTCATTAGGAAAATGTGTTATAAATTTTATAGAAACCATTTGATTATAAACAATAATTGCAATATTTCATTAAGAAACTATACTTCTTTACTTAAGAAAACATATTTCAATATTTAAGAAAATTCCATTCAAAATAATTACATACCTACTCAGGAATCAGAAGCTAACATACACTTCTAGCAAACATAGGAAGAATGAATTTTACATGAAAAATTATCACATATTTTGCAAGAAATTTTAGTTTTATTGTTTTTGGACTTTGGACACATAGCACGTTGGCCTTTGTCGAGTTTTTCTAATCCACTAGAACTTGCATTATTGATGCTTTCATGAAGCACTTTATGTTCAAGCTCGAAAAACCAACAGATGGTCATTTTTTACTGTGTTGAACGTCACTGCAATAAATGCCGGAGTTGCCTTTTTCTCAACAAAGATTTCTCCCTTACAATATTGAAATAGGAGAAAATTCCTAAAAAATTTGGCTATATCTCCTATACAGCCCCACATAGAGATAACAAAAAATATGCAAATGCTTCCTAGTGATGACATTTCATCAACTTTGTCTACATCACCTTTTGTAGCATTATAAAAGTTAATTATTTCTGGTTTCTTCATATGATCACTTTCATCAATGGCGTCATTGCAATGCTTTGTAGATAACAAAACTACACATTTTGATTTTTTAGGCACATACGATACTAGTGTGGCGTTCTTTTGGAATCCAAATATAAAAGAATAAACGTTCCTAGTTTTTGTTTCGATGAAGTGGGTGGGAATTTCAGCCTTGTTTCTCTTTAGGGTTCCTACAATAGTTAGCTTCTTTGATAAAAGTTCTTTTGCTAGAGGATAACTCGTATACCAATTATCCATTGTTACGTTTCTGCCTAATCCAAACAAAGGGGTGCACGGGCATTGTGTAATTTGAAATGGTAAATTTTTAACTCTAAAGGGACCTTCCGGCTGTTGTCCTGCGTATATCTCCATGTTATAGCTGTAGGGAGTTCTTGAATCTACTAAGGCAGATATTTCGATTTCATACTTTGCTGGGTATATGTTGACGAAAGAAACACTGCCCTCAAAATTTCTCTAATTTTTCTTTGATAGTAACATATTCACCAATAAGGTATATCTTTTGGCAATTTTCAATGAAATCAGTAAAAAATTCTCTCGCAATTTTTTGTCCAGTTTTTTCCGAGTGTCACGATTGGTCACATTGTTTAACCGTAGACACCTGAGAAGAAAATTAAATCTTTTATATGATATTGTGTTCCGAAAAATTTCAGTGCCTGATCCATCAGTAGCCCACATATCTTGCGTATTTGTATGTGACAATATATGCAAGCCGCACAGATATAAACCCCCAAAAAGTGCTCAAATTTCCACATCACTTGTCGTTTTGGCATCTCGATCTCTGGTGTAATTTACTGATATTTTTTCAATATAAATATTTGAACACTCTACAATGGATCGTATCATTTTAGCATTGAAAAACAATTCCCCACTTTCTAAAGGCTCCGTTATATTCTGTGCTGTTCCTTTTAATCCTGGTAAATGAGTTATTATAATTTGAGACGATGTTTTCACTTTTTGGTTTTCCTTTCTGCCAAACTCTTATTTTTGCTAATAAAAATACTTTTTACTAAATCAGGATTTCCGTTGTCTTCATCATTCTGCTCAAAATCACTTTTGTTGTCGTGAGAACTGTATATTTCTTCATCAGGTTCATTTTCACTATCTTTATCAATTTCTTCTTCTGAAGACTCAACTTCATCTACCTCTTTTTCATATTCGGTAGATTTACGTTTATAAGCCATTATCTATCAAATAATCCAACAAAACAACAATGGCAACGCTCGAGAGGATGAAGCTAAACTGCTACTAATGAAAAATTTTGAAGCAGTAACGGTCGCATGGGGTGACTGAGTCACCCCATTTTCTCATGGATTCCAAGAAACGATTGCTTCTCTCACAGAAAAGGAAAACAAGCAAAAATAACAATACACATTCCAAGGGGAATGTCAAACAGGAGGATTGGAATATAGTAACAGGTAGTTTGGCGACATTTTGGTAAGGCGATAAAGGTTACTAGCTAGGACTTTAGCAGTGTACATGGATAAAGTCAAGAGAGTGCACAATGACATTTTTCTGCAATTCTGGGATGTTTTTTTAAGTGAAAATAGGTCAATGTGTACATGGATACCGTTGTAATGTATTTTGCAGTAATCGACAAGGGCAATTTTCTTATTAGAACATAAATTTTATTTCTAGTTCAAGGTGATAGACAAATTTTATACAATTCTTAAGTGGCAAAATTTTAATACTACTCCTAGCTGGTAAAATCTTCAGAATTCTAATCTTTTAAAACAATATCTCACGTTGCTGAGTAACGGTTTAATACAAATATGGCATTGCCACTTCAACGGTAATTATATTTATTTATTAAATAACAAGATATTACAACCTCTCCAGATAAACTTTAATTTATATTTTTATAAATTAAAGCTTACTTTTTTTTTTTTTTTTCAAAACAACAATATTAGCACAATACAGAATTGAAATACAAGATATAACATAACATACACTGAGGAAGAGAGGAAGGAACAAAATATTTTTTTTTTATCTATATAGAGAAACAAATTATTTAATCAGGCCAGGGAGTACGACTTAATGCGTCTACATTTTTATGGTTTTTACCACTTCGATGAACGATCGTGTAATTGTAGGGTTGTAGAACTAGTGCCCATCTCATAAGTCGTGGATTTAGACTCACATTATTTTTTAGCCAAACTAAGGGATTATGATCGGTCATGATGAGGAATTTAGTATGCCTGTCTAAATAACATTGAAGTTTCTTTACAGCAAATATTATGGCGGCGCATTCCTTTTCTGTACTTACAGAAACTGAAAAAAAGCAGTTTCTGTAAACTTCTTACTGAGGTATAATACTGGATGTTCATTGTCTCGTTCATCTTTTTGAGCTAAAATGACACCCATACCAGAGTTTGAAGCATCAGTTTGCAAAAACCTGAACTCCTTATTTGAAATCAGGTGCATGTAGTATAGGCCTTTGAGACAGTTTCTCCTTTAGCTCTTCAAATGATTTTGTGCACTCTTCTGTCCAATTTATTTTCCCTTTCTTTATGTTTCCTTTCAAAGTTTCTGTTAAAGGTGCTGCGATAGATGAGAACATGGGAATGTAATGATTATAATATCTCACTAATCCTAAAAATACTCTGACTTGACTTTTTGTGGATGGCACTGGAAAATCAAGAATAGCTTTTACTTTCACTTCACTTGGAATTCTTTGCTCTATCTTGAGCAAATTTACATTTTATTGGTTTAATAGTTAAACCAGCATCTTTTATTTTGGAAAATGGCTTTCAGGTGACTTAGATGTTCTTCCCAGGTGTTTGAAAAGATTGCCACGTCATCTAAATATGGAACAGCAAAGTTTTCACAACTGTGAAGGATTTCGGCCATCATTTTACTAAATGAAAATGGTGCATTTTAAGTCCGAAAGGCATCCGTAGAGGTCTAAATGTGCCAAAACTTGTAACAAAAGTGACTAATCATTGAGTATTAGGTGTTAAAGGTATTTGACAGTATCCCTTTGTTAAATCCAAAAGAGTTATATATTTTGCGCCTGCTACTGTTTCTACTCGTCGTTCGATGTTAGGCAAGGGGAAGAATTGTGTTTTAGTCAATTTATTCAATTTTCTATAGTCGATACAAGGTCTTGGATCCCTCCCTGCTACTTCTACTAAAATCATAGGAGAAGTGTAATCTGAATCTCCTATTTTCAATTATTTTATGCTGAAGCATTTTATCGATTTCTGATTTTAATATATCTGTTTGTCTAGGAGACATTCTGTATGGTTTACAGTGGATTGGGGTGTTTTCTGTCAATTGAATATCATGCGTTATTAAATGAGTTTTTCCAGGTTATTAGAAAGATTTTTGAAAAACTTCAGCAGCATATCATGCAATTCTTGAATCTGTTGTTCATTTAGCTTATCCCTTAAGGAACTGTTTTCTTTAATGTTCTCAAAATCGAACAATGTTGGTTCAGAGTCAATTGTTGGGAAATTTTCCTCCATATCATCAATTTCAGATTGATCTTCTGTAATCATAAGGTTAACCGAATCTGCTCGTCTATGATAAGGTTTTAGCATGTTAACATGGTAGACTTGGTTAAAGTCATTTTTTTCTTCGAAACTCACAACATAATTAGTGTCGGATAATTTCTTCTCAACCTACTCAGGACCTTTCCATTCAACTGCTAGTCTGTTTGTTTTATTCGTTGATACAACTAATACTAAATCCCCTTCAGAGAATTCTCTTTTGATAGCTTTACGATCGTACCACACTTTTCTTTTGGTTTGCATTTCCAGCATTTTATCTGTAGCCAGCTCTTTGCATCTTTTTAACCGATTTATCAATTGAAAAACGTATTCAACAACATTATTTTCTTCGTCTTCAGGATTCATCCATTGTTTATATAATAATGTTACAGGTGTTCTAAGATTTCGACTGTATACTAATTCTGCAGGTGTAAATCCCGTACTCTCATGCGTTATTGTTCTTAAAGCAAATAGAGCTGCGGGAACTTGCTTTTCCCACTCAGGGGCTGCTTCGATACATAAAACTTTTAAAATTTGTTTGATTGTTTGGTGAAATCTTTCAACAGGGTTGCTCTGTGGATGGTGTACTGAGCTTCTAGTTACTTTTATT